TTTTTTTTCACTTTTTACCATTTTTGAAGGCTTAAGCACTTGTCTATAAGATAAACTATGAAACAGTACCATACAAGTAATTTAACAGAAAACTTACACAATAATAAATGAAACACATACAAATTTGTAAATAATCTGCCTAATCACCTGACTTTTACAGGACATGTAATATTTGAAATGTTGTGGTAATCTTCAAGTAATGCTACCAGGATCCATTTCCACGGCGTTTAAAATTTCTGTTTCGAGTTTCTCACTCTTTGAGTTTGTTCCTCTCCAAAATTAGCGTATTGGCGTTCAAAGCTAATATTTTGTTATTCGGTTGGGATAATTCATCTGATCGTCTTCTTTTAACACCATCGTGTTCTCCGGAAAAAAGTAGGATCTAACCATATTACCATTACTTGATTCGTATACATACTTTTTTGTACCATTGGAAAACCTAACAACGAAAGCAAAAATACACTATACCGTAACTAAGCACTGACATAAATAACCAAAATAAAAATGTATCTAATATAATCCCTTTACATTCCGACATACGATACCAGGTGTGAAGTCAACTGGCAGTGGCCGCTTTTAAGAGGCGGCAATTTAGAATTTTGACAGAACAGTGGAGGCTTACCTCCGTTTCCATTCGTATGCGATCGAAACAGGATAGATTTCTGCTTAAATTTAAATTGTTCTCGATTTTTGCTATTTTGATTACTTTGGATTATTTTAATATATCTAGCACCGATTGGCTGCTGAAGTGGCTGAATGAGAAAAAAAATTTTAGAAATATACCATATTTTGTTTAAAATTATATAAGTTAGTAATAAATCAGTTTTAATTTTGATTTTTATGCTATGGGTTTTGCCATATATTTTTTTGAATGGATTAGTTTACTCCGGTAGTTTGATATTAAAAATTATATATAGCAAATATCGTCGCGCATGTTAAACTGTCCATTGCCTTATTCCAGCAAGTTGAAAGTCCCGTGCAAAACTGTTGCACCAGTCTTCTAGTTGTCTTACAGCTCTTTGGAGATACCTCCTCACCATATTGGAGTTCGCACGCAGCTTTCTGTTTCTGACGAAGGACCTCATCAGTTTCACCAGTCCGACAGGGTAACCAAAATCGAGCATCATTGCCAGAAGCCCATCGTGTCAGACTCTGTCGAAGGCCTTGGCGACTTCTAGACTACTACTCTAGGTTATTGAAACTTGCTTACTACTACTAACTGTACTACTAACCTGAGAATCTGTTGCTCTGAGTGACCGCTGCAGTAGGCGAACTGCTCGTTGGAGATGACTCGCAACAATTGGTCCGAGCTCTCACGCAGTTTGGTCAGGATGATCCTCTCTGCTACCTTGTTAATTATCGGAAAGAGACTGCTGGATCTGTAACTGTCAGCAAAGGTTAGACTCTTAACTGGCTTCGGGACGAAGATGACGTGGGCTTTCTTCGCAATCTCACAATGGCGCGACGTTGACGATGTTGAGCAGCACCATCACTCCCTTGTGGGCGAGCTTTCGAGGGAGAGAGGGAGTATTCGATTTCCGATCCGGTCATATCCAGGTGTCTTCGGGTGTCTCCGACCTGATGTCGTCCCTGTCGGGTTGGCGTCGGTAGCGCCATACGCGTCGCGTCGTTCCATAACGTCAGCGTGGTTCTCGTCTCCGTCGTCGAGAAAGTTGTTCCTACACTGTAATTCAAGATTGTCGGCAAATGCCTCGGCCTTTTCATATCTGGTGTAGACGATCCCGTTCTCTCCGGAGGCGTTGAGTTTTCCCAAATAGAGTTGTATAGGACAAACAGAATAAATATCGACCAATTATTTGTTTTGCGAAACGTAGTTCGAAATTGGTGTAGTGAAAGCATAGGCCTTGTTCTCAGAAAAATGTCTAGCCTTGCCTAGCAAACTAATATACAGTGTGTTGTGAAAAAAGGGGTTTCTTCCTTTTGGCATCAAATCGCGAAAGTTTTATTATTTGTTCTTGGCTACTCATTCCAAAATTTTCCAAAACAGTTCACCTTTCGTCTAGTTAAATTCGACTATTTATTTCTTTTAAAATTAAATTCAAATCTACGTTATATTTTTTCAAACTTTCTTGTATGTTTCGCTCCGTTGTGGAGGAATGTCATTTGTTCATTAGTTTATAATTCAGGTTGTAAATATTAGCAGCAGTGTAATCATATTTACTCTTATTTAGTCTTTAGCATTTAGATATCATATTTATAGTTATAACTTGCCTTTACTCGTTCTCGTAGTTTGTTTTTCTTTGCTTTTGAAATGTGGTTCTATTTAAACATTGACCTTGCTATTTCCATTACTAAAGCAGAAATAATACTGAGTGAATTAGATGAAATCTGAAAAATAAGAGTTTATAAATTCTCGCAAAATTTGTTGGCGCCCTACAAATTTAAACAAGTATAAAAGGATAAGACACTAACTAAAACTCACGACACGCACACAGATCTCGCTTCCGACTTCTTTGGATGAAACAGAGACCATCCCTGAGATTACAAAAACGCCCTAAACAAACCCTTCTCTCGTGATTCGCGATCGACTTCAACGCGAAGTCAAGATGCAATCCGGTGACCAAAGTAAATCAAACAGTGAAATCGAGAGCAGTTCCTAGTCCGAACTCACATACAAGAAGTCACTCAGCAGCTGTAGCAACAACCTAAGCTCTCCAGGATCAACCCCAAGTCAAGCGAGTAAAAAAATTCTTATGGATCTCGCTTAATACACGACTCACGACAAGAATCTTTAAATGTCGTTTGTTGCATTTTTTGAGATCTTTATGCTCGTAGAAACAAATTTATGAGTAATTATAAAAAAACCTTAAAAAGTACCGAAAGTTTAGTTTTTATTTTATGTGATATAGAAAACTTATTTTAATAAAATTTTATGGCAAATTCATATCTTTCACCTGGCATAAACAAATCTTCTGAGTATTGTGTGTAATTTGCTGCACCCGCTACAAGGGTAAAAACAAAATATCATCGAAAGACGCAATGGCAGACAAAAAATTGCTTGTTGTTTTCTCTTTCATGCGATACCTATATTATGTAATCTTTTATATTTATTATATTTTTTACAGTTTCGTTATAAAAAATGTAAACATTTTCATGTTCTTAAGTTAACGTAGCAATGGTTTCAAACACGCCAACTACAAAAAATTCTATACTTACTTACTTCTTTTAAGCATAATACAGATTTTCTTATCACATTATTATGGTAGGTAGTTATTGGTTTTTATATTATAGTGAATTGAGCCTTCAACATTGTTCACAGACAAAGTAGCTTAGACTAAATGTAGCTATGAAAACAAATGTGTTGCTTCAGTAATGTCATCATTTGACAAATTGTTAAAGTTCATTCTGATTTCGAAAAACTATAATT